TCTGCTCCTGCAGACATGTCTGCTTAAAACTATTACAAAAAATGTACAAAGAAAAGTAAGAATGCTTTTATCAGTCCACTAAAATTTTTAGCTCCTATACTATGGTGAAACAGTTTTTAAATACCCACATATAGTATGAAAACTTGCTGCCCAAATTCTTTGATTCTTTATATTGCTGCTTGCTGACCAGCAACAGAATATTTAAAACCAAGATCATAATCCTGAATGCAAACCATTCTATTCATTGCATTTGCCTTTGTACACATTCCGGCGAATGCATCAGAAGCGTCTGCACTCACTTTGCTCAAAGAACAACCAGGAAGTCAAAAATGCATCTGAATGCAAGGATCCAAGATGAGTCGTTAAACGTCCTTCGGATGCTGAAAACACTGCTTATGAATGATACCACTCAATAAAGAATTACTGTTTGACGTGTTTGACTTTCTTTTTAACTGTGTTTGATTTGTTTATTATGTGTGAAGAAAAAAAAATAACTACTTACTCTTCTGCTTTGACCTGTGGTTTGTTGGCTCATGTGTGATGTGCAGCTCTTTGGCTTACCCTGATCGATGCTCTTCTCCTCGAATTCCCTTCCAGCCTTAGAGTGTAATAGCTGAATAGAAGTTGTGACCTCTTTAATGATCGGCTAATTTATTTATGTTGGTTAGACTGTGATGCTGAGATGGCAGACAGCCAGTTGTTGGGCTACTCTTTGCTACTTAGTGCAATGAGACGGCACATTTTTAGCCGCGTGTTCCAGGATGCTGCAGCTTTGCAGGTGAAGTTAGAGATTGAAATGCACTCAGTAGCATATATATGTTTATTCTAACTGCATGACTTAACAAGTTTGTTAATTTTTTGGCTCCTACTGCGTCCTTTAGGATTTCTAAATAAATCTGAGTTTTTCCTTCAGATTAGAAGTGTTAATACTTAAAAAAAATCACTTACTGCACTTGACATGTGTTTAGGAGAATCTGCAAATATGTTTGTTTTGATTTAATTATTTAATACGTCTTTTAAAAGGGTAATAAGACAAAAAACTCAAAGCAATTTGCAAGATGGAGAAACAAAAGATGACAAAGTCAGAATGTAGACTGTAGATTTCAAGTCGCAAACATTTTTCATCAATAATAAAGACAAAAAAAAATCCACCATTTTCATCATCTTTGATTGAACGAACAACAAAAACAAGAAATTTAGTAAAAGTGTTCCTGAACAATTAGGTGAGAAAAAGTTTTAATTTTTTTTCTTTTTAATATAAAAGTATCAGTTCATCTTAAAAATTGGGTATTAAATATTTTTAGTCAAAGAAAGCCTTCAGTTTTAGCTGAAAGGTTTAAATCTGCTTTAAAACAGGCTTCATATGAGCCAGATTTTCCATTTAGAATAAGGATTATAATAAATCTGTGTATAAAGGATGGAAACTTGGTTGTATACAGTAGAATAGATTTCTTGCAGTCCTTCACACTTCTTGCACCAACCAAAGGGCGCTCCCTGTCCTCCTACTGTGCGGATGGCCATGTGGGAGTGAAATCTCCGCTCAGCTCAGGGTTTCATCGATCTGCTATGGAGGAGTCCTCTGGTTGATTATGAATCATCCGTTACAGTTGTGCTTTGGGAAAATAAAACATAGGAGTTTTCCACCAAATAACCGCCCTCCATCATCCCTTCTTTGCTCTTCTCAGTCTATTCAGGACATGAATAATTGCACTGTCGGCTGGCAAAATAGCAGCTCAACTCAGCTAATAATTTGAGTGACAAAATAAATGATAACCGCTGTAATTTCCCTATTCTATCCCATAATATTTAACAATGAGGAAGAGTTGAGAGGGTTATTCAGGCGCTAGAGATAAAACGAAACCGCTTGTGAATGAATGATTATTGGTCTAATTACAGAAACGAGTAGAACAAAGACTGCAACAACAATGACTTTATAGTCATCAGAATGGCAGTTAGTACTTTCACTTCCTTACCAGTCCTTTGCATGTGGATGCACATGCTGTAAATGTAGTAAATGCAACATGTGATGGCCATCAGGACATGCACATTTATACAGCATATCTTTAAAGTAAGAGAGGACAAAAGATGCAGTGTTTAATATTGAATAGATGAGCTGAGGCGAACTATATGTTGGGGACTAGTCCTTCAGTAAATCAACAAGCCAAAAGGATTTCAAATTATTTTTCATTCTTTATCAATTGTAATGTTATTATAACATTTGTCACAATCCTAAAAACAATGGCGATAACAGAGTAACATGTTGATAGGATAAGAATAGAAACAGGAAGAACAAGTCTTATTAGCTCCGTCCTCATTCATGATCCATAATAAAAATGAATAAAATGCAGTCAAAAGGCTTTTCCTTGAAAATACATATACGTACATGGATACACACAATATTCTCAGTTTTTCCTTCATCTTATTTTTATCCTTTCTCTTCCCATTTTCTTCTTTCTTTCCTTTTTTCCCTTTTTTGCATTAAGATTTTTTACGCCTTTTTCATACTTTTAAATAGAAGGCATAGTGCATCAAATCGTTTTTGCATGAATATACAATATAACTTACAATGTATGTTCATGCAATTGAATTTAATTGATTCTTCAATTTGTAATATTTGAAGATTACAAATTGAAGAATTAATTCAATTCAGTTTATTTATATAGTGCCAAATTCACATCACATGTTGTCTCTAAGCACTTTACAGTTCAACCCGATCATACAGTCCAATTGATTCAAAGTTTTCTATCTAAGGAAAACCAGTTGATTGCATCGACTCATTGACTCAAATGCAATCCCTCACACTAAGCATGCTTGTAGCAACAGTGGAGAGGAAAACTCCCTTTAAACAGGAAGAAACCATCTGCTGAGGCCGACTGGGGTTCAAGGAGACAGAAGCAGAGACACAAAAAGCAGCTGTAAAAGGCGGCCCCGTCCAGGAAACACACAGCCAGGCAGACGAGCTCTGAGCCAGCTCCCTTGTCAGAGGATGAAGAGAGCACATCCAGCCAGTCACGGTCAGAGAAACAGGACTTTACCGGAAAACAGGCCGATTTCCAACATCTATAAACAAAGGTGTTGATGGCAGCAGCACAGCTGATGTTTCTCTCCAGGATGGAGTCACAGCCAAACAGGAACAGACCAGATGAAGCTACTATGAGAAAAAGCAGAGAGAGCAGAACGTTAGAGATTGAACTAACAGATTCTGCAGAGTAGGAGAATGAAGATAGAATGATGCAGAATTATGAAATGGGGTCCCTATATTAAAGGACATGGTGAAAGTAACAAACTAAAAGCACTTACTATAAGAGGTTCAAGACCGTTTAAAAACTCTAGATAGACCATTAGATGTCCTCTGGTGTCTGTTAACAATAAATCTGATCTAGGACAGCAAAACTGATTAATTATTTTTTTTGTCAGTCAATTTATAATTGGATAGCAAAAAGTAACTAAGAAAATTTGGTTACATAACTAAACCAGGGGAAATGGAAACTTTTCTACTTGAGGGGTTCTGGGTAGAGAATATTGAACATAAAAAATGTTTGGCATTTTCTGCATTTCATAACTTAACAATTTTGGTATCAGTACTGCTCTAAGTGGGTTGCTCTGTTAGCTAAAGGTATGCTTTAGACTCTCTATACTCCAGACAATTAATGATTACTAAATTAGTTCACAATTATTTCCATAATTTAAATAATTTATTAATCTAATCTAATCTAAAGGTGTTCAGAGGATCTGGTGAGGCTTGTTTTCAGCAGCCTCGCTACAGCATAGCTTGCAAAGCTGATTCTTCCTAGACAAAGCAACGCTATAATTCAAGTGTCTCCATCCACATTGAGCATCCTTACAAACGAGGGAAGCTTGTAAACCTGAAAACACCATCCTGTGTGTAGCACGATGGTGGCCGCATGGTGTGTTTTACATTCTGTGCTGCTTGAGGAAGTGTTGCACTTTTACCAAATACACAGCATCTCTTTATTCTGTGAAAACTTTGAAAAGAATCTGAAACATCATCCTGGGAGGTAAAGCTTGGGCACAAATGTCACTTTAAAAAATGATGAAAAATGTAAGCATTTTATTAATTTAGCAACAAAGAGGCTTCAAGATAACAAGATAACTTTATGATGTTCTAAACTATTTGCAGTTCTATGTATATTGTTCAAGAAGACACACAAACTATCTATTAGATTTACGTTTGATTCATTTATTCTGAGACGCTATCCGTGATAATTTTCTGTCTTTCAGACAAATCTGTAAAGATGGCACAACATTGAAATAAACTTTTATATGATGAAGCAGACTGAATCAAATTTTAATTTCTCTGCCCCATTTGAAGGGCATCACTTTTCCAGCAATGCCCTTCAAACATCTTGTAACACGGGGGAATTACCCGGATTGTGACCGAGGACGTGGCCCTAAACCAACTAGTAGGCCACTAAAAGTATCATCAAGTAGCCTAGGGTCTCCCAATTAAATGTACCTAGGTAAGTCTGGCTTAAAATGAGGAAACAGATTTAGTATACAAATTATATATTTTATTTATGGATTACAATTGGAAGACAACTTTATTATTCTATTTTAAAATCCAATAAGGCACAAGAACCCGTGACAGAAGAAGCAATCTGAGACTCTAGAAAAACACTGCAAACCACGTTAGTAGCACACAAGATCAAACAAGATTATATTAATTTAGAAGAACACGAATCTCACGTTGCGTCCTATAGAGCTGCGCCCAATCAGCTTATTTATAAAATAAATAAATGGTCGTTCTGGTTCTGTAGTGCCCGTGCTACAACTCTAACTCCAGAGAAAACCTTTTACCAAGAGCATAACGAAAAAAGGGGTCTCAATGGTGAGAGCATAATAAGCAACAGCAGCAATCTTCATCAGCCTCAGACAGGGATATATGCAGACGCTTCCATGAAAACTTTTCCAGCAGCGCGAATACCAAGATCCAAATTCTGTGTAGCAGCACGGCTCCCAACGCTCAAAAGAATCTACTGCACACCAAACCAAGCCGACTCTCATAGCTTGCTTGCACACCTGGTGCCTATATACGCTAATGAGCCTGTCAATTCTGTAAAGCAGACGTGAAGGTAAAGAAACGGAGCTGTGATGTGTTCAAGGACCCAAAACGGGTGGGAATTTACACCCAATAGACCACCCGGTTACATCCTACCCCCCCTCTATGGATCGGTGGCCCAACGATAAAGACTAGGACCAAGGCCGAAAAATGGCTGTAGCCAAGCTGCTGGCACCAGGGATCAGAGAAGCAGCAGCCCCACTATCTTCATTCCTAGCAGGTACTGGGAGACGATAGGGATTGGAGTGTTTTCCAGCAGTTTTACGAGTTGATCTTCTAGGCCCAACCCTACTGCTTTGAGAGGTTTGTGGAGACTGTGGCACTTCAACAGGCGTCCGAACTGTAGGGATATCTGATGGTTCTTGTACAAATGGCATGGCTGCATTACTGCCAGTCTCTCGGAGCACCAACCAAGATCCAGACGCCACATCATCCTCATCAATGTTCTCCTCAGGTGCCTGCTGTGACCAATCATTGCAGGTCTCCGTGATCGACAGGGCAGGCTTTATAGAGGTACGATGTACTTGTCTAACCAGATGGAGCTTGTCAATCGGAGCAATTGAATAGACAACACCGTCTGAACTTGGTGCTTTCACGACCTGGTACACCGTGGAGCCCCATGCATCCTGGATCTTTCGGCGCCCTGGGCCAACATCACGCAGATACACTCTTTGCCCAACTTCCAGTGGCTCGCAGGTGACCTTTTCATCATGTCTCACTTTTCTCCTGTGTGCTGCCAACTCCACTCTGCCTTTAACAATGTCAATGGCCATATTTAGACGCCTCCTGTGCTCTGCCACCCAATCACAAACTTTAGATCCTGTGGGCTCAGGAAGATGGCCAAGCAGAAAGTCCACTGGCAGGTGGGGCTCTTGTCCAAACATGAGGAAGTGAGGTGATTCACCAGTCGACTGATGGGCAGTGGTGTTGTAATAGAAGACAAGCTGTGGGAGATGTTCTGGCCAATTTCGTTTTTCCTCTGGTGCTAGGGAATGAAGCAGATTGAACATAGTTCGATTGAACCTTTCACATTGTCCATTTCCCTGTGGATGGTAGGGTGTAGTGTGACTCTTCTGCACTCCATACAACTCACATAGCTGTTGTACCAGGACACCTTCAAAGTTCCTCCCCTGATCCGAGTGGATACGGGCCGGCACCCCAAATCGGTAGAACCACTCACGAACCAGAACCTTTGCCACAGTTGTTGCTTTCTGATCACGTGTTGGGACAGCTTGGGTGAACTTTGAAAATACATCTGTCATCACCATCACCAGCTCCCATCCATCACAGGCTGGTTCCAGAAGTGTGAAATCAATGGCCAACAGCTGATTTGGTCTTGAAGCGAGAAGGTGACCCATAGGAGCTCGAACTCTTGGCTGGGTGTTCTTAGCAAGGGTACACCTCTCACACTGTTCGCACCAATCCTTTACATCTTTGTCCACTCCCGGCCAAAAACATCTCTGCTTCACCACATTAATCGTCCTCTCGACCCCCTGGTGGCCATGATGTTGATGAAGCTCCTGCAACACCTCTGTTTTTAAACTCTGTGGGAGAAGAACCTGAAAAACTTCTTCTCCACCATCTGGTCTCCACGTGCGCCGGTAAAAGAGGCCTTCCTTCTGGACAATTCGGTCCCACTGTTTCAGAAGTCCACGTGCGCCTGGCGCTAGAGATGTCCCGATCCAGGTTTTTGCACTTCCGATCCAATACCGATATTGTTTTTGGACTTCCGATCCGATACCGATACTGGCCGATACCAGCCTATCCGAGCATGTATTTAAGTTTAAGTTAAAGTATTTAGCCTTAGTTGTAAGACTCATGTTGAAAAGGGTTTTAGTACTCTTGATAACATCTAGCCAGCTAAATTAGGTGAGATTGAATAAAACACAATGCTTGGTAACAACAAACTTACCTGTTTATTAAGAGATAAACACAAACTGGACAAAATTATGAATAGCAATCTGAAATTGCACAGTGAACAGTAAAACCGTAAACAGTTATAGGTGCAAGTATTACTGTAAGTTTTAATAAAAATGCAAAACAGGGAAACACTGGCGCAAAATAGTGGAATGGATCGTTTCAATCGGCGAAACTGGAAAATACGGACCAGATTTTTTTTCAAAAACTGGATCGGCAGTCTGGATCGGCATTTTACATGCTTTGCCGATACGCATTTTTTTGCCAATATCGGCGTCCCGATCCGATACGTGGATCGGATCGGGACAAGCCTACCTGGCGCCAAACGCTCCTTTTCAGCCCGGCTCGGCACCCTTTGTTGCTGCCAAAAGTCCAGGAAGGCTGAAATGGCCGGATCAGCTCCTTGAAGTAAGCACAGATCTTCTCTGCTGCGAGATGGAAGGGCAATAATTGCCAACTGGGCTACATCCTCCTGTAGCCCACCAGCCCTCTCACAGATTATTTCTGGAACGGCTGTCCCAGGGAGGTGGTGCTGTAGTTGTATTCGGTCCTCATTTATTGATTGTCTTGAGAGGGCATCAGCATTCTTATTCACACGACCTGGACGATACCTGACTGTATAGTCAAATGCAGAAAGTTCAGCAACCCACCGATGCTCCGTGGCCCCCAGTTTGGCAGTGTCCAAATGGCTCAATGGGTTATTGTCAGTCCAGACGACACATCGGTGGCCCCACAGGTACTCTTTGAACTTTTCAGTCATGGCCCACTTCATGGCCAACATCTCAAGTTTCATGGAGCTGTAACTTTTCTCAGCAGCATACAAGCTGCGGCTGGCATATGCAATTGGTCGTACCCGTCCACTCTGCTCCTGCGACAGCACGGCTCCCAACCCACTGTGGCTGGCGTCTACCTCTAAAATGAAGGGCAATGAGAAATCAGCAAAAGCAAGAGTGGGAGCACTTACAAGCTTGGCCTTTAGTTCCTGGAAGCTCCTTTCACAGTCTTCTGACCACGCTCCTTCCAATAGTTTCCCTTGTCCTCGACGCGTCTTCAAGGCAGGATGTCTGGAAACAAGGCGATGAAGGGGGCCAGCCAATTGAGAGAATCCTTCAACAAACCTCCGGTAATAATTGGCAAACCCAAGGAAGGACCGGAGCTCTGAGACATTGGTAGGGTGAGGCCAGTTTGACACTGCTGCGATCTTGCCTGGATCTGTGGCCACACCGTCCTCAGAGATGCAATGTCCCAGGTACTGAACCTGCTTTTTGAAGAAGTCACATTTCTCCAACTTGACCTTCAGTCCTTCTTGTTTCAGACGACTTAACACCACCTCGAGCCGCGCCAGGTGTTGATCAACACTGGAAGAGAACACAACAATATCATCCAGGTATAACAAGAGTGACTGACCATGCTGAGCCCCAAACATCCTCTCCATCAAACGTTGAAAAGTTCCTGGTGCATTGCACAACCCGAATGGCATTCGATTGAATTCAAAGAGGCCAAACGGCGTGCAGAAGGCAGTTTTTGGGCGATCATTTTCTGCAACTGGAACCTGGTTATAACCACAAGCAAGGTCCATGGTTGTGAACCAACGAGCACCCGATAGAGAGTCCAATGTTTCTTCTATTCGAGGCAATGGGAAAGCATCCTTTCTGGTCTTTTTATTGAGCTGTCTGTAGTCCACACAAAGGCGAAGACTGCCGTCCTTCTTTCGGACCAGGACAATTGGCGAGGCATAAGGGCTACTGCTTTCACGGATGACCTGGGTTGCCAGCAGCTGGTTAATATGTGACTTAACTGCTTCATACTCAGATGGAGGGATACGCCGATACCGCTGCCGTACAGGAACAGTGTCTAACAGTGGGATGGTATGCTCGATCAAGTTGGTAACCCCAAGGTCGCCATCAAAAGCAGAGAAAACAGACTCGTATTTTAGCAATAACGCTCTCACTTTATGCTGCTCTTCCCTATCCAGCATAGAGAGATTAAGTGACGTTATCTTTTCTCCAACCGACCCAGTCTGAGATCTGACTGCAGCCACAACTTGCTCCTGTACACAAGGGACTTCCTGCAATTCTGACGGTAAGCTGACCACTTCTACAGGGGACACGACACCCAGAGCACAACGGGGTTTTAGTGAAACGGTACATACCCCTACATTCACCACAGGGACATAAACAGTGCCCCTAAAAACCTGCATAAGGGAAGGAGACACCAACAAACCCTCAGGTAAGCCAAACTTCCTATCTAAAGGCTCAATTAATGCGCCCCCAGCCTGCGTCAACATGGCTGAACAAGTGGCAGGTACAAATTTAGTAGTGCCTGCAGGGACCACAACAGGTCTTCTACCACGAAGCTTTGCAACACTGGTTTGAATTTGGTCTTTTTGACTCTCAGCCTGTTGACATAGCTGAAAGGCAGGAAGCCAGGAAGTAGGGGCCCCCAAAACAGAAGGGAGTTTAAACAAATCAGGGCCATACTGGTCAAATAGCTGAAGATAATGGGCTTTTATTATATTCATCCCAATTATGCCTGGTACCTGGGGTAACTTTGCTTGGCATGGAGGGTCCCTAACAACAAGGATCCCTCTTCTGGGGATGACTACCCCACACACCTCAATATCAGGCTCAAGATAGCCCAAGTAAGGGATACTCAACCCATTTGCTGCTCTCAACTCCAACCAATGGCATGCCTTTAGCTTATCTGGAAAATGCTTTTTAAAGAAACTTTCTGAAATGGTAGAAACCATAGACCCAGTGTCAAGAATACATTGTACTGGAACTCCAGATAGTTTAACAGTAACTTCAGGGCAAGGTGCAATTAAACACTCAGCCACCTCATCCATTTGGGGACCCTCTGAGCCTGAACCACCCCCTCCTAATGTCTGGCTCCTAACACTAGGGGGAGTTAGTTTCCCTGCAACTGAGAACTAGTGGTGGCTTGGACCTGAGGGGTACCACTGGCACACGGGGGCTTAAAACGGCCACGAACTGTACAATACCGAGCAATGTGGCCTGGCTGCTGACATTTGTGACAAATCACACTACTAGGACTGAGAGGCCTAGCCACCGAAACCTGCTGCATAGCTGCAAGACATTGAGTAATCTGATCCAACTGTTCCTGCTGTTTTTGCACAATTGAATTAAGAGTAGCAAGTTGAGAAGCAACACAACTGGAAGGAGGGTCAGTTAAGGAAGGGGGCACACTGGCACTCTGTACAGCACAAAAGGAGGGGACCACCCTACTTTTATTTTCCACCCCACCTTCACGCTCCCACATAATGGCCTCCGCTCTAACCTCAAGTAATGTACACCTTGGATTATCACGAGCATAACGTTTTAGCTCTCTACGCAGGTCAGAACTACTAACATTCTGAATAAATTGATCACGAAGTAAAATGTCTGCATTTAACACAGCATGGGGAGCACTAGATTTAACTTTGTCCATTAAGCAAAACAATGAATGAGAGAATTCCTGCAAAGATTCACCATCTAACTGTCTTTGTGAAAAGAAGTCCTCCTGTAATGAGACATACGACTGCTGGCAACCATACAGTTCTTTTAAAATTGTGAAAACAGTTTCTGGATCCTCACGTTCAGATGATGACCTATATTTGATCTCATCTCGAGCTTCCCCTTCAAGATGGTCAAAAATGAAAGCAGCCTGATCTGTAGGTCCAACATGGCGGACTCGCATACTGGTGCGAACCTCTTCTATCCAGTCCTCCACCCCAACACCATGAGTTCCTCTGAAGATTGGACATTTTCTCTCTCTTGGTAGGTAGATTATGCGATCAGCCCCCCTGTTCGTTGGAGTGCCACTTGTACTTGGGCCAGCTTGTACATCATCCTGTCGATTTGAACTTGCTAATGCAGAATCCCTCTCCTGCTGCAGACGGCTCCTTTCGGCCTCCAACTGCTGGACTCGAACACGGAGTTCTTGAAGTTCCTCATCCATCGCACCAGGAAATGATGATCCTTGGTCACAGCTTCGTCTATCCAGCTAGGTCCCACGATGTGCTTACTGTTGCACTATTATGCTCTTCATCCAAAAAAAAAAAAAAAAGATCTATAAGGATCTCTACTAGAGCACCACAGAACCAGCACAATTAAAATCAAGAGAAGAAAGAAGAGAAAAAAAAGTATCTATACACATACTATCTGTTCCAACTGCCAGGTCCTACCAGCAACGCCAGAAAATTGTAACACGGGGGAATTACCCGGATTGTGACCGAGGACGTGGCCCTAAACCAACTAGTAGACCACTGAAAGTATTATCAAGTAGCCTAGGGTCTCCCAATTAAATGTACCTTGGTAAGTCTGGCTTGAAATGAGGAAACAGATTTAGTATACAAATTATTTATTTTATTTATGGATTATTTTACAATTGGAAGACAACTTTATTATTCTATTTTAAAATCCAATAAGGCACAAGAACCCATGACAGAAGAAGCAATCTGAGACTCTAGAAAAACACTGCAAACCACGTTAGTAGCACACAAGATCAAACAAGATTATATTAATTTAGAAGAACACGAATCTCACGTTGCGTCCTATAGAGCTGCGCCCAATCAGCTTATTTATAAAAGAAATAAATGGTCGTTCTGGTTCTGTAGTGCCCGTGCTACAACTCTAACTCCAGAGAAAACCTTTTACCAAGAGCATAACAAAAAAAGGGGTCTCAATGGTGAGAGCATAATAAGCAACAGCAGCAATCTTCATCAGCCTCAGACAGGGATATATGCAGACGCTTCCATGAAAACTTTTCCAGCAGCGCGAATACCAAGATCCAAATTCTGTGTAGCAGCACGGCTCCCAACGCTCAAAACAATCTACTGCCCACCAAACCAAGCCGACTCTCATAGCTTGCTTGCACACCTGGTTCCTATATACGCTAATGAGCCTGTCAATTCTGTAAAGCAGACGTGAAGGTAAAGAAACGGAGCTGTGATGTGTTCAAGGACCCAAAACGGGTGGGAATTTACACCCACTAGACCACCCGGTTACAATTTAAATAATTTATTAATCTAATCTAATCTAAAGGTGTTCAGAGGATCTGGTGAGGCTTGTTTTCAGCAGCCTCGCTACAGCATAGCTTGCAAAGCTGGTTCTTCCTAGACAAAGCAACGCTATAATTCAAGTGTCTCCATCCACATTGAGCATCCTTACAAACGAGGGAAGCTTGTAAACCTGAAAACACCATCCTGTGTGTAGCACGGTGGTGGCCGCATGGTGTGTTTTACATTCTGTGCTGCTTGAGGAAGTGTTGCACTTTTACCAAATACACAGCATCTCTTTATTCTGTGAAAACTTTGAAAAGAATCTGAAACATCATCCTGGGAGGTAAAGCTTGGGCACAAATGTCACTTTAAAAAATGATGAAAAATGTAAGCATTTTATTAATTTAGCAACAAAGAGGCTTCAAGATAACAAGATAACTTTATGATGTTCTAAACTATTTGCTGTTCTATGTATATTGTTCAAGAAGACACACAAACTATCTATTAGATTTACGTTTGATTCATTTATTCTGAGACGCTATCCGTGATAATTTTCTGTCTTTCAGACAAATCTGTAAAGATGGCACAACATTGAAATAAACTTTTATATGATGAAGCAGACTGAATCAAATTTTAATTTCTCTGCCCCATTTGAAGGGCATCACTTTTCCAGCAATGCCCTTCAAACATCTGTTTTGGTGCAATTATACATATCACCATTAAAGGGACACTATGCAACATTTTTCAGTTAATTAATGTGTTCCATAACGTTATGGATGACTAAATGAGTCATTTCAGGTTGAACAAAGGTATTCTCGGCCGCCCTGGTGGTCTGTGGGGGAAATACCGCACTTGCAACTGCAGGAGCACCGACCCGCACCCACAGGCTCAGAAGTCTCGTGAGAGTCAGTCTTGCTTTACGGCTTTACGGCGAGAACTGCTAAAGTTGTTTTAATATGTGTTTAAGTGAGAAAATACACCTGAAAACGTAATCAGTGCAGTCAGTTCATTCAGATTATTATCCTGCCTTCAATATTTTTTCTGTCGGAGCCGCTCAGACCCCCACATACCAGCGGGGCGCCGACAGTATGGATCCCTTCATCAGCAGCGGTTCACCGCGGCAGCTGGTAGGTGTTTTTCATCTAAATAATCCAAACTGCATATCCTGCCGGCAGATTTCTGCATTTTAAGTTAATTTAGGCGTCAATAAACTGTTTAAGAGGAGTGATCATCAGCGCTGTGTCTCTCTCCCTGCGTTAAACGCACCCGACGCGCTGCTTCAGCTGCTCAGACGTGCTGCGCCTGGTGCTCAAAACGCGCCGCGGGACCTTTTGCTGCGCCTTGACGCGCGTCAACCATTGACTTTGCATGTAAACTCGCTGCTTCTGTCGCGCCAGCTACGTCCAGTGTGAACGCAGCGTTAGTCATTCGCTGCTAAGCTCAAAACAACCACGCCTGGCTTGACGGAGAAACCAGGAGAACAGCTGTGCATATTTACGACAGTGCACTTTTACTTTCGCCCTCTGGAGGGAGCCTCACTGGAAAATCAACACCGGTTGCATAGTGTACCTTTAACAAAGCGCTTACCTATGCAGAGGAAACTAATTCTAATCCAGATACACGATCAGGTAAATGACCAAAACTTGCTTCCATGTCTGTTGATTTTGGGATTGGAGGATGTTTGTTTGCTCAATAAAGGCCTGACAGAGCCGGTGCGTTAGTCACCATGCAGGAGGTCAACATGGAGTGGGAGTGAGAAAGGAAGAGGTGGATATGAGCGGAAAAGAGAGAGATAACCACAGGTTGATTTTGTAATTTCATGAATCAATATCCACCCACTTCTGGAGATGCACCGATTAGAATTTGTTGGTCTACTTAAAGAACTATAAAAACTGAAAACATTGGAAATATTTTTTGTCTAACTTTCCTGCAGTTATGCAAAAGACTGATTTCAGTTATTTGAAACAGACGATTCTTAGAGGCTTTAATATCTATTGGTGATAAGTGGGTTTAGTATAACTTAATCAAGGGTAATTTTGTTTATTCACTAGAGATCTGAAATTAATTACCATTAAGATAAAAAAGAGCTTGCAGCATGTAAATTTGTAGCATCTTTAAAAAGTATTACCTTTAGTGGACTCTGTTCATCCTTCTTGTTATCTTTTCTTTTTTTTTAAATACCTGTAGTGAAGCTGAAAGAACTTTTTAGTTTCAGTAACGGCATCTGCACCAAAGAGTGTTAAAGCTAAATAATGTATTCAAATCATAACGAAGAAAAGGAAGTTTAGGAATCATTTCTGTTCGCTTATTGTAATACAAAGCCAGTGAGAGTCCGTAAGTGATAGCATCAGTCTTCACTGTTTGGCACTCCTGTGGGTCTTGCTGAGTCACATATTCCAGGAGTGAGTTTGTGCGTGATGGTGTGCATGCAGATGAGTGTCTATACATCATTTGTGTGTCTCATTCTTTCTGCTTGAAAGATCTTTGGCATCAGCTGGGACTCTCTGGCCAGTCCGGAGCCTGGCACATGGACGGGTTGGACTGCCGGTTTCATCTCCCAGACAACGTGCAGTAGAGGGGTCAGAGGGATCGGGGAGAGGGACATGTGAATGTGTGTTCATGTCCCAGCGTTGTTTTGTTGCTAGTGTGGAAAGAATCCATGAAGAACAGGGGAATGTTTGTTTGAATACAACTAGTTCAGGATCCATTTCTTGTAGTCTGTAGTCCGGAAATATGTTAGAAAAAAAACATAAATGCCTGATTTCAGGACCAAGTCTAATTCCAGCCCACATTTAGCCCACAGTCTCTCTGCAAATATACAAGTTAAAAAAAAACTTAATGACATGCAGCTTTGTTCTTTGGTTTATGATTTAAAAACGGCAGAATTTTTGCAATGCTTGAAAATATCGGCATCCCTGTTCACACCCTTTTTAGCTACCAGCACCAAAACCTACTTTTAATGTTCATTTGATACATCAATAAGCAGATCTGGATTGAATTGGTAAAAATAATGCAAAAATGTAATGCTAATTTAATGCTAAATGTAGACAAACACTTAATTTAAACGTATTAAAACTTTGAAATGCTCTATGGGTAGTAACCCATGTTTTACTTGATGGTGATTTAGAACTTTCTTTGAAAAACTAGTGCTGCATAATTGATTGACAGCAGTATCTCCATCAATGGCTGCATTCTGGATACAAAAAAAGTGCTTCACATAAATGCCTTGTTAAAGTACTTTCTATGCATAAGAGGAAGTAAAACAAGTTATATAAAATGGCAGCATTAAAGACGTGAACGACACAATCTGTGGAACAGAGAGCAGAAAACAAGCAAAGCGAATCAGTAAATCAGGTGTAGTTTGGGAATGTAGAGAAGCAGCTGTTCTCTTTGTCAACGATCTCAGAAGAACCACAGTTACAATGAGTTAGATGTGCTATCCGAAACAAAAGAGATCACACCAATGGCATTGGAGCAACAGCATACACACACAGTTAAGATGAGGTTCATTCTATTATGTAGGAGAACAAAGACATTACATAGAGTTCATAGCAGTAATTGCTTTGTCATTGGCTCCGTTCAGGTAGGTGACAGCTTACAACACTTAGACTAAACTTCGAGTAGTTTCTCCTTTCCTCAAACAAACCATATAATATGTTAGTGCTGTTTCAGAATGTTGCAAATCTTCTAATAACACCTGTCTTGGATTTTAGTTAGATTTAAATGTCACTTCTTTATTCTTGTTAACACCCAATTTATCAGTCATTGTTTTTCAGTTTCAAGAGGGCACAGCAGCCCAAACGTTCCCTTTTTGAAATGTGTAAAAATAGACATTTTTATCCCCTCTTTGATAACTGAGTCATATGTCCTCTCTGAGGGGACAACTGTTAGATTTTACAGTTAAATATCTGTAAAATGATTTGTGGTAGGTACACAATGATTTACTGGAGTATGAGAAACCACACTCTTTTTGCTAGATAGAAATAGAGAAACAAGCTTGATCATGCATCTTTTTGCAACCTGGTGTTAGATTGCATG